ACTATTTAAAAGATCAAATAAATATGCATCTATAGTTAAATTTATTACTTTTTTAAATCAGTCACTCAAAAGATATACACTATAAACAAAAAAGTTTTAATTATTGGGACAATTTTTTGAGTCAGTGTATCTGTCAACAAGGGAATGTAGAATTTTTACACATGTTTTCAATATACTAAAAGAGTTACGAGGAACAAGCCAGCAGTATCTGCATGAAGAAAAAGTTGTCACAATAAACAACTTCCTGTTTAACTATGTAATGGGTATTTTTCCTATCGATGTGACTTTGAGTATATAGCAAAAAATTATTGAGCATAGATTTTAAGGTTAGATAAAAACAAGTATGGAGCAGTTGAAAAAAGTATCTCAGTTTTTTATAACAAAAAGAAAATTAAACTTAACTATCCTTTGGGTCTCTGTGAAATATATACATACTAGAAATATAGCAAATTTGCCCATGTTCATACAAATTTCCTGAACCATGCAATTGTAGCCAGTTGCCTAAAAGGAATTTACTCTGAAAGTAATCCAGAATTTACTTGCTGAGAAGAGAATTTTGATGGAGACAACTTTTACATAACTAAATGGGAAATAAAAGTTAAAATAACAGGTATTTTTATAAAAATGATAAAAAAGTTTGGAATATGAAATACTAAGTTTTTATTTAAATTTTTATACAAGGCAACATTCTTTTTTGCTAATCAGAAAAAGAGTTACATGGTACAATTGTTTTGCTGAAGGAAGGTGTAACTAGTAGTTTATTATAAAACCTGGCAAAAAAAACAGTAACAGCAATTAAAAAATGGAAAAAAGATACTAAAAAAGAAAAACATATGAAGTATTGGCAAGAGCAATTGCAACAAGATTCCTCTGCTTTGCTAGCACTGGAAGAATCGATAAAAAAAAACCAAGGCAGTAGCAGTATTGCAGAAAATTTAAATTATACAGGTGTATATTTTAATTTAAAAGAAAATAATCGTAAATGGCAATAAATTATAAATATTAAAAATGTAAATTGTCAACTAAATGTTTATATACTGTATAAAGCTTAAAGATGACAAATAAACATTAGGTAGGGAAAAATGAATAAAAAAAAAAAAAAACATGATTAAAAAAATATCGGATTAACTGAATGGATATGAATCAAATAAAAATAAATCCATTTGGATACAGATCGGATCAAATAAAAACTGATCCAATTGGATTTACCTAAAATCTGATTTGATTCAATCCATTGTGATCCCTATGTGTAGTTATTCTGGAGAACCATAAATGATCTTATCGAAAAAACTTTAATTAAAGGTTATAAATTTGAATTATATGTATGACAATTTGAAATTAATGCTTGTGATTCATATATTTTCATTTTGAATCTCTTCACATTCCCATGCAGAAATCGATATATAAATTTTACCATCTAAAAAGAAATTAACGATAACTTACTGTTAATGCCATTATTAGTCAATTACGAATTATACTAGGGATTTCTTCCGAGGTATGATTGTCTTTTATGATCATTCCTTGATCATTTACATCTATCTTTATATGATTTTGTAGATAGGTAACGGATTCCTTAAAAAGCGCCGACTTTTGGGGAGTAACCTGCATATTATTGACATTAGGCCTTGGCGGTAGAGTCCCAGGGGTTTGGATGATAGGGTTTGTAACTGTTAAAGTCGATAATTGATATTGATTTACCGACGTTGGTAAATCTTGTGATATTATTACATTGTTTGGTATAGAATTTAGAGAACCGAGTGGTGGTGGTGGAAGCGGAGGAATAAGTAATGATAATAATGGCGGAAGTGATGCTACGTCACCTCCGGTCATCATAATTGCAGGTGCTGGATTATCTGTCAGAATTTGCGATGATTGATGAGTTAGTTTCAACGATAAAAAAATAGTCTCCAAAGAAATCTCAATAAAATAAATCCAATTTACATACACTACTGCAATAATTTCCTCCATGTACTTTTGATTTTGGTTGTTTTCGTTCGCTTATCTTTTGCTAGATTATGTTTAAAGTCTTAATAATGGTTTATATTATCACTTTTTAACGTCATTTTTTACCTTTTTTTTCTGATCGTGGCCCGAATCAGAGGAAGTAGGACGGCTACTTGGTTCATACTAATAACAAACGTATTGCTTTGGTCATATAATATATTGCATGTTAAATAATCCATCCAATATCAACTTACATCACTTTCATCATCAGAACTCTGTTTTCTTTTATCGGACTCCTGCCAAAATTTACGTCTTTTATATTAATATTAATCCACATATCAACATTATATTAATCCATATATCAACATTTGCATTAGTTACCTTATTGGAATCAATATCGGTTTCGGAATGATCTTTTGTTTCAATAGGTACACAAAATTGTTGGACAAGATTATTTGGAGGTGAGATCTATATGATAACGAAAAACAAATTTTGTTACAAATGATGAAATGAAAATACAATGGAAAAATATCATACCTGGTTTTCTGGAGATTGGGGTGGTTCTCTGTCTAATTTCTCAAATGAACGTTTTCTTTTTAATAGAAGGTTGCTTTCAATAATGTGCTCGACTAATACATTAGATTTTATTTGACAAGCTTCTTGATCCTAGATTATTTAAATAAAGTAAGTAAATAATAATTATGATTCTGCTAAGCATGCGGACAATTCATTTATATTAACCTCTTTTTCTTTCAATATATTTTTAATACATTGGGTTTTGTTTCTCTCATCGCGGACATAAACACCATTCCAATAAGTTTTCACTGAGGTAGAGTTGATAAGTTCGTTAAAATTTACTAATAATTTCCGAGCCTTCGCATTATTTTCAGAAGCGACGGTCTCCAGCGCTTTGTATAAAACTTCTTCTGCTTCAGTCTTTTGAACAAAAGGAAAATCTATTTTTTTATAAAAATTTAACAACAGTAAAGTTTTCATCGAATATAATTTCTTTCAAAAGTTCAACGTAAGCCTGTGGATAAAATACATACAGTATATATATTAATGTCCAATACGACGATCAATAAATGTGATGATAATATTTAACGCAAACCATAATGCCTAAAAAATAAAATATAGTAAGTAAGTAAATCAAATGAATAACTTTGAGAAACAGTATTTTATTTTTTAACCCGAAACTTTCTCCGAATAATTATAAGATCGCCACAGTATATAGCTGTTTCGCCAACAAAACCAGAAGCAGAAGAACCCCTCGGGATTTACAGGTCGGGGAAACACTGGATTTAAAGAACCAGAACCTTATAATATCCCTTGAAAATCGCCATCTGACCATTTCGCCAACAAAACCAGAGGCAGAAGAACCCCTCAGGATTTACAGGCCGGGGAAACGCCGGGTTTGAAAAAGAAACACAAAAGGTAAAATCATACTCGACCTTTCAAATCAATGAAGACTCCCGTGACGCGTGGAAGAGTTACTCGTGATTATAATATAATACTAACACATGACAGAAAACCGTGACCAGATGGTCACAAGCTAATAAAATTGGCGAGATTGTTGTCACTCACTTCAGATTAGGGTGGCCGGAAATAAGCACTATGCATATGCGGCGACCGCATATTTGTCACCTTATGCTTATCGGACGCATATCTAGCATATCAGTTATAGCATATTATATAATTTGCGCAGTTAGCGCAATTTTTCTGATCATCTATTAAAAAAAAAAAAATGATTACTGCTAGTGAACGTCAACGAAAATGTGACCTTTATCGAGAAAATTTTACATAGAAGTCAAAAAACTATTTTGTGTTTTTTTGCAACTGTATAAAAAGTTTTCAGTTGATCAACATTTGAAAACTAAAAAACATAAAAATAATAAAAAAAACCATACAAAGAACACACCAACTTACACTTACAGATTCAGTTGATTCAGCAAGTGATCCTGAAACAATTAATGTAGATCTGGTTCAAGCATTCACTCAAGCAAACATACCATTAGAGAAAATTGATAAGCTTAAACCATTTTTGTCTCAATATTGTAAAAATGGTAAGTTATATTATATTATATTATATATATTTTTCTAATTTATTTTTATTATAAATAGGAGATACTATTGTTGGATCTTTGCAACTTAAAAAAAAATATTTATCAATTGTATATAATATAGAATTAAAAATTTAAAAATTGTTTTGATAGAATAAGCAATTTCAATTACTGTTGATGAATCAACTGATAGTTATGGGTATGCAACTGTAAATATTTTGTTTAGTTTTAAAAATTTTATAAAACTTGTTAGAACTAAGCATTTGACAATTGTAGATAATTCATCTATTGCATAATTAGTTATGTGTACTATTTATCTTTATGATATTTTTTTTGAAAATATTATTTTATTCATTTCGAATAATGCTTTATATACAGTATGTTAAAAGTTTTTACTATTTTATCTCCTTTAATTCCTCAAATGAAATATAATTGATGTTTTGCACATATTTTAAATTTGGTAAATAATACTTGGATAGAATTTAATGATTTTAAATCATTAGAAATTGCTATTCAAAATATTAAAACATCTTTTATTCAAAATAATTCTCACAAAAGAAGATGAATTTCTTTTTTAAATTCATTTTCCTTTTTTAATAATTCAACTTTATCTTCTTTATCTACAAAAACTAGATGAAATTCTTTGTTTAATTTTGTTTTTGGAGTAGAAAAACATTTACATTATTTGAAAGTTTTTTTTCTTCAAGAAGAAAATACAAATAATGAAAGCAAGATAGTTAAAGAATTAATATCAATGTTTAATAATTCAA